TTAAGGTCAATGAAGTCAATGCAGACTCTCCACTTCTCGTTCTTCTTTTTTACCACAACCACATTGGCCAACCAATCGGGATACTGAACCTCTCAAACCAAGTCGTTGCTTAGCAGCTTCTCTACCTTCTCGTTGATCACCTTATTCCTCTCGAGAGCAAACTTTCTCCTCTTCTGTTTCACAGAGGGGTAGCTTGGGTCGGCGTTTAACTTATATATGGAAAATAGCGTCGGGGTTGATCCTGGTCATATCCACATAAGACCAAGTGAAATAGTCTTGGTTCTGTTTGAGGAAGTCCACCAACTTCTGTCGAATGTTGGCTTTGAGTTGCGCCCCAATCTGGGTTTTACGGTTCAGGTGATTGGGATGTATTTGGATGTCGTCTAGCTCTTCCATGGCTGGCTGGTTGGTCCAGCTCGGCTCCGGCCACCGAGCGGCTCTGTAATTGTTGCATGGTCCCTCGCTTTGCCTTGAAAGCATTTTAGTAACAATCCCTAGAAGCCTTCTGGTCACCCCTGCTTTCTTTTATTTCCCGTTTGGTGGGGAACCTAATGGTCTGGTAGAAGGTAGAAAGGATGGATTGCGTGCCATGGATCCATGGGCGCCCTATTATGATGTTGTACAGAGAAGGTGCGTCCACTATCATGAAGGTAGTTTGGAGGTTGATCCCCTCGGCATAGATCGATAGAGCTGTCTCCCTAAGAGTGTATTTCTGCTCCAAACTGAATCCAACAAGGAGTGTTGAGCGACGGTTGATGTTGGACTCATCGAGGCCCATGACTTTGAATGCATCTAGGAACAGTATGTTACCGGATGAATCGGGGTCCACCAGGATTCTTTTGACGATAATGTTGGCTACTTGGAGGGTGATAACGAGAGCATCATGATGGGGATTAAGGAGTGTTACTGCTTCATCGTCGGTGAACTCTATGGTCAAGTTTGTTGGTTTCTGCTATGGTTGTTGTGATAGGTGATACACTTGGTTGGTTGCGGATCTGGCGTGGCGTTTCACCGCAGAGTAGGTGACTCCACTTACTTATGACCTACCAAAGATCACGTTCACATCTCGTCAGTGGGTGGCGCCTTTGGTGGGGGTGTTATTTGGCGATCCTTGTTTGTTATTGTGCTTTTGCCTTTCTCGATTAGAAAGTCTCGAAGATGGCCCCTTTTTAGTAACTCCATGACTTCCAGACGGAGGGCTATGCATTCGGTAATGACATGTCCGTGATCTCTGTGGAACTCACACCACTTGGTTATGTCGCACTTACTCCTGGTATGCTTCAGCTTTGCTGGCCATCTGACTACTTTCCCCATTTCTTTCATCACCGCGACTACGTACTTCAGCTCAATGTTCAGGTTGTAATCGGGCATCTCGTATCTTTGGGGTTGGTCAAGTGTCTTCTCACTATGTCGAGTTGTGTGACGATCATTGGGTAGTTTGTTGCCCCGCATAATCCCTCTTTTTACCTAGTACGGCTCGAATTGAGGACATTCTTTGTGTCTTTCTACTCGGCTATGGTGTCGGTCGATGGCAGAGTTCAGCTTTGCTCTGTGGACTTCGTCTTCTTCCCACCTTTTTTTCTACTCAAGCACGGGCTAGTGCATCTTCTATTGTATTGCAGTTGAATTTGGTAAGTTCCTTGTATAGTTCATCGTGTGGTAAGAGTCCTTTCCTGAAGGCGTCTACCACAGTCTCTTGGTTGCAGTAGGGGATTGAGACTTTCTCACTGTTGAAAAGCCCTACATATCCGCGTAACAGCTCATTGCGATGTTGTCGGATCCTATAAAGGTTGCTAGACAGTTTTTCGAGCTTTTTGCTACTGGCGAATTGCTCCACGAAGGTGTCGTTGAGCAGAGCGAATGACATGATGGAGTTGTTAGGGAGATTTGTGTACCATTGAAGTGCCAGTCCTACGAGGCTGGAACCAAAACTCTTGCACATGCATGCTTCACGGAGATCTCGAGGTATAGCATCGACGAACATTCTTTGTTTGTAGGAAGCTATGTGGTCGTTTGGGTCGATAGCTCCGTCGTAGAGCTTCATGTTGGGGAAGGTGAATTTGCACAGCATCTCTACGAGCGTTATTGCATCCACGAAGGGCGAATCAACATAGCTTTAGGGTTGACTCTTCTTGAGTGATGAAAGTATGCCTAGGATACGTTGGATCATGGCTTTTATCTCAGCTAGTCGCTTGGCCAATGTTTGTTCCAAAGGAGTCGACATGGGGTTACATAAGTTGTTTAGGAGATGGGGGAATACGTTAGGATTTATATGGATGGTGGAGCCAAGCCGGGCCGATTGGTTGGTACTATCGGTGTTTGGATGGATTGGATATATTTGTGGGAGGGTGAGACGGGTGTCTAGCTGTTGAAGTGGGGTAGTTTGGAGGAGCGCTTTCGTGGCTGAATGGTTGATGGGTGGGGTATTGTCATCTTGGGTCAGCTAGGCCAGGGGAATTATGGTTGAGGCCGACCGAACAGTGGGACCTGTGAGGGTGCCATGGTCCGGTGTGGAAAATAGCTGTCTTAGGCGAATGGGAAGACGAGAAAAAGATGCATTATACTTATTCATAGACCAATCTAAAAAGTAAAATTGTGTTACCTTATATTGAAGGGCTTGGTTCTTGGCGCGGATGGTGGCGTTTTACGCTTCCAAGACTTAGTATTTGTCATTGCTCTCCTGTACCAGTGCGGTGAGGGCTGCAATCTGAGCCTCGATATCAGGCAATGGGGTTTCAGTGTTGTTGGTCATGATGACAGGACGAAAGTTATGGAACGGATTGGGCAAGTTGTTCTGAATCATATGACTGTCAGGGCCTTACAGTGGGCGCCAAACTGTAGATGGTAAAATCTATAGTCATGAATACAGGGTCGAATCTAGTAGGACGGGCCACTGGCAGCCTAATGGACCTGCGAGGGAAGTAGCAAAGGGCATGGAGCTTGAGACGGAATGATACTATGGTTTTAGGGCGGAATGCTAGGGCTTCGAGTGATCCCCCATGAGAGGGTTTGCCTCTGTTTATATAGTGAACCTTGAGTGTTCCCATCTCGAAAGGATCCTGAGTCCTGTCTTTAGAGGAGTTCTCTTCCTGGAAGAGATATGATTCCTCGCCTTTATCGGATTAGATTCACCAATTTCGGCGAGAATCTAGGTCTTACCCGAAGAAGAAGTAGAATTGGATTTTGATTCTCTGTTTATTGGATTGTTGTGGGCTGATGGGCCGGAACCCAGTCAAGCTTAATTTGTAGGGTAGCCCAACTCGTGGAGAGGGCAGTTCGCAAAGTAGATTTAAGCGTGGGCCTAACCAGAATTGGGCTAAGGCCTTGGGCCATAGCATGTTTATTTTGTTATTGGGCCTCATCAGGCCCAATACGGTTTTTGGCCCATACATACATGAAGTAAGTAATTTACATAAGTTGATTGTGTTAATTAAAGAGAAATGAACAATCACAATTCATATGTGAAGAAATAAACACTCACTCCAAGGGGTGACACCAAGTTTTTATTTAACCCCAAGGGGTTGACTTGACGGTCAATGAAGTTTGCTCTTTTTTTTAAGTTTTTGGGTTCAAACCTTGGTAACATCTACCACAAAAATATTATGGCTTACTTGATCCCAAGGACGGACCCAGTCCCAACCCTCAAATTTTTTTTTTTTTTTAAATTGCTTATATAGGCCCACGAAAAAAATATGTTGTTAATACATATAAATTGCTTATATAAGCCCACCAAAAAAAATGCTATTGATATATATATTTAGGCCTACCTCAAAATTTAAAAAAATGAGAAATATTATACATATATCTAGGCCTACAAAAAACTTGTTATTAATATATATATTCTAAGTCTACATCATATTAAAAATTTAAAACTCTTTCCACTCTTCTCTACAGCTTTACCTGCTTTTTATGATTTTATTCCCAAAATTCTTTATTCGCTCATTCGCTCATTCTCTTTCTCATGCTATCTACTCTTAAAACTTTTGAAGATTGGAATTATTGAAGCTTTCACTACTCAAGGTGCAATAATTAGCTTTGTTTTTTGTTTTATTAGTTTTATGTATGTGTATTGCTCATTTCATTTTAGTTTATTTTATGGTTGAATCATGCTTGTTTTTTGGAGGTTTTTTATTCTAATTTGATAGGAAAATATATGGATCTTGTGAGTTTGTTTTATGTTTTGTGTCTAAGAATGTTCCTGCTTTCCCAAATTTAACCTTAACTATATTTTACTAGACGTTATTCTTCACCCTTTACCCACCATTTTTCTACATTTCAAACATCACCATTTAACTATTCAAAATTATTAAAGAAGTTTGAGTTACTGTTTATGTTTATATCAAGAAAATTTCTCCCTTTTTTATTAATTCTATTAAAAGTCAATGCAATGTTGACTTGATTTAAGTTTTGGTTGACTTTAGTTTAGGCTAAGTTTAATCAAAGTCATAAAAATTTATATTATAATCTTTAGAAGAAAAAAAAAATTAAAAAAATAATAATAATAAAAGAAAAAAATAAGAAATAAGAAATTTATGTGGAATATTTTTTGTGGATTGTGGTTGTTGTAAACTCTTTTAATTATATTGGATTTAAGTGGATAATTAGATTCCATGGTTTTTTTATCTTTTTACATTAAAAATAAAATTCTTGGATCCACCCCAACCTAATCTTTTGGGTTATGGACCTAGCATTACTCTAAAATAAATGACATGTTATAATAGAACTTTAACTTTTTGTATTTAATTTATGTATATTATTTTAGTTTTATGGCATACTTTGTGATTTCAAAAGGTTCACGAGATTGAATAAAATTTTGTAAACGCCGGGCCCCCTCTCCCAAGCTACTGGGATTTGGCGGTTTGAATCATAAAAGAGATAAAAACTTTCATGCAAACTCCAAATGAAAAAGAAATTTCTGATCGACAATGAAGGGCAATCAATGAGCAGCAATTAATAGCATTACCAACTTAAATCAATTTAAAAGACAAAAATAAAATAAAATAAAAAAATCCATCACTATTCCCTTACTTTCAATCGAAGGAAAAAAAAAATCATCTTCACCACCATAACCCTTCCTCAGGACACAACTCTGCTCCTCCTCCTCCGCAATTCTCTATGTCTCAAACTGACTTCCCCGCCAAGCGCCAAAATCGAACTCAACTCATATCCGATAAGCCGCCGCCTTTGCTTCCCGGTCTTCCCGATCACATCGCTCAGCTCTGCCTCTCCAGAGTCCACCCTTCTATTCTCTTCAGCGTCTCCCGTTCTTGGAGACGTTTGATTTACTCCCCTTCTTTTGCTCCTTTTCTTTCTTTGTACACTCTTTTTTCATCCAAATCTGATAAAATTCTTCATTTTTATTCTTTCGATCCCATTTCTTCAACGTGGGAGGCTCTTCCTCCTTCGCCCTCAGATCCTCCGATCCACCTCATCCTACATCACCCTTCTTTTCTATCCCGGAAGCTCCCGATTCAGTCCGTTTCCGTTTCCGGGAAACTTGTACTTCTGGCTGCAACTACTCATAATTTTTACCCCGCCCTCAAGCGTCCTCTCTTGTTCAATCCCATTCACCGGAACTGGGTTTTTGGGCCCCCGCTCCTCACCCCCCGCCGGTGGTGTGTCGCCGGCTCGCTCCGCAACGTTGTGTACGTGGCGAGCGGTATCGGATCTCATTTCTCGACGGACGTGGCAAGGTCGGTTGAGAAGTGGGACCTGCACAAAACCAAGAATAATAATAATTATTATCACAATGGTGGCGGGGGGAGGTGGGAGAAGATGAAAGGGCTTAAAGATGGGAGATTTTGCAGAGAAGCCGTGGATGCGGTCGGGTGGAGAGGGAAGCTATGCATGGTTAATGTGAAAGGGTATGGCGCCAAGGAAGGAGTTGTTTACGACGTTGATAGCGACACGTGGCGAGAGATGCCGGATGGGATGATTAAAGGGTGGAGGGGCCCGGTGGCGGCCGTGGATGAGGAGGTGATGTTCATGGTGGATGAGACTAACGGTGCATTGAGAAAGTACGATGAAGAAAAGGATGATTGGGTTCAGATAATTCAGTCAAATATGCTCGTGGGAGCTCAGCAGATTGCGGGTGGTGGTGGGAGAGTTTGTGTCATTGGTGGTGATGAAGGTGGAATCGTGGTAGTGGATGTCGTGGCGGAGCCACCGCGGCTGTGGGTGGTGGAAACACCGAATGGGTACCAAGCTTTAACGGTTCATATCCTCCCACGGATGAGCCAGCCGGCTACAACCAATTCTTGATTCATTTGATTTTATACAAATTTAGCAATTTGAAAAACAATTTTTGTTCATGTTAACAGATGATATGATAATGATGCACAGAAATATTAAATATTATTATTTTTTGGGTGGTTCGAGTAAAAGTGAAAATTTGTCCATTGCTTACACAGAATGCTGACGTAGACTCATAAGTTAACTGATACCATAATAAATGCAAATATTTCGTCAATATCTCGTGACAAGATATAATGTGTATTTAAATTAAGCGGAGAGAAAAAGTTTGGCAAATATCCAAATAGTACCAATCTTTTCGGAAAATACAAACTAATACATGTTATTTATTTTTTTTTTAAGTTACCTATAGCTCACACTACTTAAGTTCAGAAGACTTAAATGCCCCTATCATAAATTGGGCCTCCCAATTTTATTATTTGTTCCTCTTCCTAATTTGGGCTAGGGCTTATATGAATGTTGGATCAGTCCCCAAATGCTTTGCTCTCTTAACCTGATTACAGGTATTATAACATTGCCCATCTCAAATGATTTGGGCCGAACTGCTTAGCCCAACCACTTGACCAACTATATAATTTACTGCACTGCAGGATGAAAAATGAAACAATAAAGCTATAGNAAAAAAAAAAAAAAAAAAAAAAACATAGGGTGTGTTCTTTTATGAATTTTATGTTTATGTTTTCTGTATTTTTGAAAATATTAAAATGATTGAAAAATGTGAAAAATGAATACGTATTCATTATGTTTGTTTGAAAACACAAAGAAAAAAAATTAAAAACATGAAATTTATAATCTACACACCAATAAAGTGTATTCAAAGTACCACTTATTTAATTCATCTCGAGGAACTTGTTATTAATATGTCAATAGTTCGCTCCGTTTATAGTTTTATGTTAAAAATATTGATTTAAAATATAAAAGTTTGTTTTAGGAAAGAGAATATAAAATATAAAAAGAATAAATAAATAAACTTTTATTTAATTTTTTATACTTAAAATAGGGTCCACTCACCCTCTCTTTATCTCTCCCTTTTATCAAATTCAAATACGCTAAACCTATAACCGAACATAATTCTCACGATTCCTTATGCCAAAAAGGCGAAAACAATATATTAAAAATTTAAACGAACAGGACACTAATCAAGTTTTTATTGGAAAAAAAGTGAGTGTAAACAAAAATCCTAATTAATTAAGTTTAAAGCTAAGAAAAATACTGTAAAAGAAAAACCTAATTAAGCTTATCCGACTATTTTAGTATTAAATAAGGTTTAAAATGATTATTTTATAAAATGTAAAAAAAAATACATTTAACCATGGATGAGAAACACCGATCAATTAGATGGAACTAAAAATCCCAATAAAGGTAGTTAATCAATAAAGCTACGGACACCAAGGTTTTTGCATCAAAAATATGTATCAGCCTACGTGTCCCCTCGACTCACACCAGCAATTCAGACGTGTGATTAAACAATAAATATTTTTCTAGTGAACAGCCGTCCATCAAATATGGACGGCCGTTCACTTATATGGACTCCCATCCATATTATATGGACGGGCGTCTCCATTTAAAGGATGCCCATCCATCAGTAAAATAGAATAAAAAATTCTTATAAAAATTTAGGACGGCCGTTCATAGGTTGTAGACGGTCATCCCTTCATTTTGGACGGGCGTCCGCAAATACGGAACACCCGTCCATTAAGTTTGGACAGGTGTCTGTAAGGAATGGACGCCCGTCCAAACTTAATTTGGTTTAAAAAATAAAATAAAAAATTTGGATGCCGGTCCATAAATTGTGGACGGGCGTCCCTTAAGTTTGGACGGGCGTTTGTAACCAAATGGATACCCGTCCCTTATTGCATGTGGTTTTAAAAAAAAATAATAAAAGAATTTGGAAGTGTGGATGGGCATTCGTAATTAATGGACGGCCATCTATTAGGTATGAACGGCCGTCCCTTATGTAAACAGCAAATTAAGGGATGGCAGTCCACACTTAAGGGACGGCCGTCCCTAATGTAAACAACAGATTTGTCATCCAAATTAAGAAATAATATCAAATAACATATCCCTATGAATGAACAGGAAATCAGCCATAAACACATTCATCTATATTATTGATTATGCATTCATCGCTTTATACATTGAAATTTACAGCCATAGTTGACGGACTTAAAATTCATTCTCGGAAAATTGTAATACTATTGGAAAAAAGAAGAATTGAGGGCACAATATCGTTAAGCCAGTAAATGGAAATGCTATAGTATACAACTAAGAAGGAAATGCAGAAAGAAAAAGCTGGAAAAATCTGCATCCAAAAGCCTGCAACCCAATAATTCTATAAATAAATAAAGCAGCTAAAACCACAATTGTTTTCAGAGTTATTATGTTTAACACTGAGCTCACCACAGTAGTTATGTTTATATACTTACTTGCGTGTCTTCTTCTTTTCCTTGTAACGCATGACTGCTTCACTACGGCTTGCTGATGTAAAGGAAGTGTCAGGACAGGGAGGACCCCATGGAGGCTCCCCCATGAGAAGCATTGAAGAAGCATCACAATCTTGATAATCACCAGCATTACTCTCACTAGTAAGGCCAGAAAAAGGGAGGCTTGAGGGTGCTTGCTTTCCCGTGAAACAAATTATAGGTTCAGTTTTTGTACTAACCATGGAATCAGCAGATGATGCATTGCTGCACGCTGGCTGCATTGTGTTTACAAGTCCAATTGATGAGCCCTGAAAAAGAACATTGGATTATAAGATCATTTCGGAAGTAAAATGCAAAAACCCAGCTAAAATGGAATGGTATGGCTAATATGAGAGAGAGTGAGCATGTTAGCACAACAAGCACATCAATTGGCTGACAGTATTACACATGTTGAAACATGCCAAAGAAAATCACAACTAATAAATTTGAAGGAGGGTAGCGATTAAAAAATAAATTTGCTATATTCTGCAAATGGTTACAGTTGAAACTTCTGGAATAAAATGCTAAAATTCTGAAGGGCACTCCAACTACAACTACAGGAGTATTTAAGTAGTAGTTCATATTGATAAACATGGCTAATATATCTATAAATATTAATAGAATGATCATTTGAAAATAAAGGATGCACACTAATAAACAGGAAATATATATGTACGTAAAGGATTGGGTTATTAGTCACATTGACAACTGTTAAGAGTTTAGTTTATCTTCCTTCGTTTGGGGTATTGTTGAAGTTGTGCTGTTATTCTCAAATTATAAACACAATATATGGTGTAAGGTGACAGTGATAGTGTTGAAAGAGCAAAGCAAGATGAGAAAACCTCAGCAGCAACAGCACCCTGACAGTTGGAATCTGCAGCAGACATTTCCTTTGTCCCAAATAAGCTGTTAATCCCCCAAATAAACAGCAAATTAAGGGATGGCAGTCCACACTTAAGGGAAGGCCGTCCCTTATGTAAACAGCAATGCAAATTAAGGGACGGCAGTCCACACTTAAGGGACGGCTGTCCCTTATGTAAACAGCAAATTTGTCCATTTGCTGTTCACATAAGGGACGGGCGTCCATTAGTTACGAACGTCCGTCCACACTTCCAAGTTCTTTTATTTTGTTTTTTTAAAACCACAATAAGGGACGGGCGTCCATTTGGTTACAGACGCCTGTCCAAACTTAAGGGACGCTTGTCCACAATTTATGGACGGACGTCCAAATCTTTTATTTTATTTTTTAAACCAAATTAAGTTTGGACGGACATCTATTCCTTACGGACTCCTGTCCAAACTTAATGGACGGGCATCCCATATTTGCAGGCGCCCGTCCAAAATGAAGGGACGACCGTCCACAACCTATGAACGACCGTCCTTAATTTTTATAAGAATTTTTTATTCTATTTTACTGATAGACGGGCGTCCTTTAAATGGGGACGTCTGTCCTTAGTAAATGGACCCCCGTCCATATAATATGGACCGGAGTCCATATAAGTGAACGGTTGTCTATATTTGATGAACGACCGTTCACTAGAAAAATATTTATTGTTTAATCACCTGTCTGAATTGCTAGTGTGAGTCAGTGGGACATGTAAGCCGGTACACATTTTCGGTGCAAAAACCCCGATGTCCGTAGCTTTATTGGTAGTCAATAAACTAGCAAGAAACAGAATTGGATACAAATGAACGGGCTGTAAATAGAAAATTAAGGACAATAAACCCAAGTATGAAAGCCCAAAGTAAAACCCAAAGGAAAGTCTCTGTAAATATTATATTATTAGTTTCCTTGTTTATTGTATTGAAATGAAAATTATTAAACAAAAATGGCTTCATTTCTCTTCCATATTTATACGCTTCACATTAATTAATTAATTGGTTTCTCATCTGTCTATTCGTGGCAATTATTTATTTGGTTATTTCATGATTTCTTGTTGTTATTTCCGATTTTAAATATTTTACATATTTAAATTTTTTACAATATATTTTGTACTTTACAATAATATTACTACACAATACTTATATTCTAAATTATAAATTTTATATACAAATCAATCAATTATATATGAAAAAAAAAAAAATTAACTCAACTGCTGATAGGCATGGCAATGTTCTCCGAGATTTCGGGGACCCGTCCCGCCCCGCCCCATATGGGGCGGGAAAGCCGCGGTTTTTTTGGGGATAGGGGCGGGGGTGGGGGGTGTTTTAATCCCCGTCCTCGGGGATGGGGCGGGGGGAGGTGATACCTTTTCCCCGGCCCGCCCCGTATATAATATATAAAATTAAAAAAATGTATATATATATATTTACTTTTCACTAATATCCCTATATTTCACCTAATTACACAATTATCCTTCCTATATAAACCCATATTTTTCTAATTCCCTCACCCTAAACAATTGAACAAGAACAAACCTTGACCCATATTTATGTATAATTAATTATGTTTAAACGATTAATTTAAGTGTTTGTCATGTGGACGAGAATTAACTATTGTGTTTGGTAATACTCAAATTAATTTATATTTATATAAAATTAACGGGGCGGAGACGGGCCTCCAACATTCCCCTTTGGGGCGGGGAAGGGGAATTCCTGTCATCCCC